AGGGGAGGGGAGGGGAGAGGAGAGGAGGAAGCCGCTATAAAAGCATGGCCGTGAGGGGTGGCCAATTGAAGTTAAGAGCAGCCCAGATGGAACATGGTGAATTATAATTCAGGGTTATTAATGGGGAAATAGATTCTAATGACATAAATGACAGATATCTGTCCAGCTCTAGTGCTGATTAAGGCGTATAATAATAATAATGATGATTAATAATAATAATAATAAAAGATATGTGTCTTTTATCCGGGAAATGAATTATCAAAGGTGGGGTGGGAGCCCCCGATTGAGATTAAATCATTTGTACAGCAAGTATCCAAGTATCTGCCTATAACTCCAGCTCCAGGGCATTTGACACATTTTTCTGGCCTTCTTGGGCACCTGCACGCGTGTGTACATAACACCCCCTATATATGCATACATAATTAAAATGACTCTTTAAAAAGCAAGAACCAATCAAACAACAACAACATCACTCTGTAAGTGCTGAAAGCCCCATCTCGTCTGTATTATCGACATGGCCCTTGTACATTAACTTCCAAGGAGAAAAGAGACAGAGAAAATCAAAACCTGCCTCTTCATTGTCTCAAGTTACAGGCAACTAAAAAAGAACATTTCCGTTTTTTGTGCTTTTTAGACGGAAGCATGAGTCTTATTTGTTATTGTATTAAGTGCCCAAACCGTGCAGCCTCAAACATGTGTGTAGCACATATAAGCATACAGGAGCACAGGAACATGCCCCTTTCTCTGCAAAATCCTAGCAGGATCCTGTGTTAGCATAAGGGAATGGGGGCAGCAATGTTTTAAGAACAATGTAATGTGTTTGGTGTTAGTGTTCGGCTTCAGTACTGGCAGTAGACAGAATGAATCCTTGTTTCCGACAGACGACGGTGAGTCAAGGTCATCAGAGGAAATAAAGAGGGCTGATCAGACACTGGTGCCCAGTGGAGTTTCCGCAGTACTGACTCCAGCCTAGAGTCTGCCAGCTGTCCCAGACACATTAGAAGGACATCGATGTTCAGGACAGCTTACTTCCTGGTTGTCAGAACTAATGACAGCTCAGGAAAGGAAAGTCATGGGAGTCCATAAAGATGCCTGTGGTCGTGTTAGAAGACCTGGGCTCACCTCAGAGTGGTTTGATAATGTGACCTTCAGTAAGATTAGTGTCTGCAAAAGTTGAAGCAAATCAGACCCAAGGACATTCACAAATTCATCATGTCAATAAAAACACTTGGAAGTTGGATGATCCAGCCAGGATTTTGAAAACTACAAGGACTTTGGTGTGCCTTTCTGTGTGTGCTATGCTTCTCGAAGACAAAGAACTGACTGACAGGAGAGTTTCTATGATGCATCTGGCTAATAAACAGAGAAAGAAGACAGAATCAAACACCTAAGGAAGGTTGGTCTAGTCAGGCGTGGAGGCACACAATTGTAATCCTAGCATTTACAAAGCAGAGGCTGAGAGGCAGGAAGATAGATGCCAGGGTACATAGGAAGTCTCTATTTATAAAATAAACCAAGAGTTATGGATATAGCTCAGTGGGAGAGTGTGCCTGGCATGTGCAGGCCTTAAGGTTGGTCCCCAACACTGGGGATAAAAATTCAACCCATGCTTATCAGTAGCTAATATTACAAAAACAAAATTCCCAATGCTATTCAGTATGGATGAAGGGGTTTCACCAGACCCTACCCAAAGTAAACCAGAACTCTGTTAACCTTCTTCTTCTTGAAATATACAAGAAATACCAGAGAAAGAATATGATACAAAAATACCAGGAGATGTAACCAGGAACTCCAAACCAGAAGCTCTGCTAGAGGAACATGGTGATGGTTTAGTATTCAGAATAGTAAAAGGGGAGAGAGGGGGAAAAAAAAAACTTCTTAGGAGATCCACGAGACATATTTTGATCCTTGTTTCTAAAAATGAGCTATTGGTTTTTTTTAAATGGATCTGAATCCAATAATTTCAGCCCTGTCAAGCTGAGGCTGGGGTACTTCTGTGAGTTTGAGACCAACCTAGGCTATGTACGTAGTGGGTTCAAGGCCAACCTGAGGAACACAGTGAGATCATGTCTCAAATTTTTTTTTTTTTTATCCAGCTCCCCTCCCCAGAGTTATGGCAGTCTTGTGAGGAAACAAACGGCAACAATAGAACATGCGCTGTTTGGGGGAAGGGTTGCCAGTCAGAGGATCAGTCTGACTCCTGTGTCTCATGGGCTAACACTGGAGAAGTCACTCAATCTCAGGCCTCCATGTCAGTATCTTTAAAATGGGACAAGTATAGGATGTGGGGAAGATTAAATGGCAGACACACTGAACGCTGTGGGGACATTTTGTCAATGGTAAGATGTGGTCACAATTAAAGTACAATGCAAACATATTATGGAAATTTTAACCTGAGGCACCGGGGACATAAAACATGAGCAGGACCGTTCAAAGGAAAATCAGCTGACATATTTAACAAGCTTCTGTGGAACAGATTTATGGAGCAGAAGCCAGAGAGTGCCTCTCCACATCCCCCCCACCACCACCAATGACTCTTCAGTGTGACACACCCACCTGAGTCACAGACTTTATGCAGCAAGCACTTATCTTCTTCATTCCAGGTATCCAAGTACTCATCCGGGCCACAGGGCAGACACACACTGTCAGAGGTAGGAGTGCATTTAGAAGACAGGTACTTTCCTTAAATTGAGAAGACAATGTGCCAATCAGAAACAAAGCAATGTGCCAATCAAAACCAGATGCTAAGTGCGTGTGGGAATCCCAGCCCCCTTGTGCTCTTTGGCTGGTATACAGGAGAAGGTCTGTCAAGAGTTAAGCAATTCCAGTTTGTTTATTCCAAAATAAGACTTCTATGCACAGGATTTCAAGTATCAATTGCACTTTATGTTTTACTAAGATGTGACTTTAGGAAACCTTACCTTCTCAGGACAAACTGAGGACCAGTTTCTGAAACTGGCTTTGATTTATAAGTGATGATATCTACTGAGGGAATGCATTCTGTCTTCTGAGCGGCAAATGTCACTACCTACCACTACCATGAAAGGTCTCTGGATGCCTTCATCTCTTAGGGCCAAAAAAGGAAAGCTACAATGTACAGGGGTACCTGGTTCGCATCTGCTGCAACACCGTCCAAGATGCTCGTAATGCCTCTCCTGGGTGCACGGAGGACTGACCTGGAGGGTCACCTGAAAAGAAAAGTGACATCAGGAAGACATCGTACACAAGTTATTTCTGGACATGGCTGGAGAGACAGTTCAGTGGCTAGGGCTTTGCTGCCATGGCAACATACGGTGAAAGGAGAGAACCATTTCCCAAACACTATCCTCTGAGGACCACATTCCTGTGTCAGTGGGACACATGAACTCATACAGGAATGTAATGAGCCAATTTGTGGGTCCGAGTTCTCCCTGGCCACTAGGGTGTGTGAACGTCACTTGGGCAGATGTAACAGGAAGTGATCGCTACAAACAGAGGATGGGAGCCCCTGTCCCGTGAGAAATGAGACAGGCTGGGGCCAAGGCTGGGATTCCCTAACTCCAGGACACCCAGGTTCTACTGGGAATCTCAAAGAGTTGAGAACAGTGGGGGCCCACGGGCGATGAGCCTGGGGCCTGGGAAGAGGTGGAACTCCTGCTTAGCTCAGGGGTCAGTATCCCGGTCTGGGGCAGAGGGGCCTTCTCCAGGGAACTTAGGAGGCTTCCCCCTACAGCTGTTCTTGATGAGAGGGACAGTCCTTCCTTATCCCAGTTGTTCATTGGTAGTGGAAAATAGATGCATAAAACTTACTTAGGGTGGGCAGGAGGTTAACAACCTTTTGCAGGAAAGAATCTCTGACAAGGGCAGCTTATTATTATAAACCCTCAGACTGGCCCTTCTAGATATCTCATTAGCATGGAGGACTCTGTGTTCTGTGCTATGTGACTAGCGGTCATGTTCTTTATGTGGGGTGTAGTGGTCATGTATTCCAGGACAGGAACCGGGTCAGGAATAGATGAAAGGCCTACCATTCTCAGGTAAGAGAATTTACCGGGGTTTCTGAATCCACTCGACCTTCCCAGTTTTTGTCTGGTGACATGGTTCCACTTGCCCCACACCAATTCTATGATGAAACCAGCTTCCTATGACAGTTAGAGGCTGTTAAGCACTGCTCACCTTCCAGAATACCAAAAAATTTAAAAGGTGTAAACGGCCAAGACTTGTAGGTCATTTCAAACCCCAACAGGCCTGTTACCTGATGGAATCCAGTCAGCTGCTTGCACACTTAGAACGTCTGTCTCTTTCCCAGGCTTTGGGGTTTGAAATGACATGTTCCCCCCATGCTTATGGTTTGACCTTACCCCCCAGAAAGCGGCGCTGTTTGAGGAGTCTGTAGAACATTGAGGAGTCAGGGCCTGGTTGGCAGAAGTCAGTCGCCAGAGCAGGCCTCTGAAGGGTCTTCCCTTCCTGGTCTGTTGTGATATAAGCATCCTGTTATACATGTCTGCCTCCATGAACTGCCCTCCCCGCTGTGACGGAGTGACCCCTCTAAAAGCATGAGCCAAAAAGAATCTTTCTTCCTTTGGGTTGTTTCTGTCAGGCAGTGTGGTCACAGAAAAGTGAACGTAACTGACACATGCTCCAAAACAGTATGACTCTAATATACAATACAAAATGGCCATGCCCCCTAGTCTTAGAGCTGTCTGTTTCACCTTCCTCAGTGGGAGAAGAAGGCATGTGACAAGCAGTCATGTTAGCAAGAATACAGAAAACTGATGAGCCAGACATAGCTGAACAGATCCCCACATGGCGTGCATGCCACACGCCGGCCTTCCTACCTGCTCCAGAGAACTAGTTACAGACTCTTCCCATGGGGTTTGCTGTTAAATGGTAACTACATACTTTAGCAGATGTGCCTGGCAGTGACAGAGGAATGCCAGAGATTTCTCAGAGATCTGGTGAGTGAGCTGCCCACTGGAGAACACCGGCCAGATAAGACATGGAAACTGGAGGTAGGGAGGGAAATGGGGCAGGGACAACCTTGTAAACTAGGTATTTAGTTCAAATGGATACATGGGGGGGTCTAAAAAGGCCTGGAGAGGATGGGGGGATGTTTATATGGATGGAGCTCATGTTAGCAGAGGAAAAGTGGAAGACAAGCCCGACAAGAGGTATCCTGGAAGCAATAGTGGCAATAACTGCTATGCAGATAACCAACCACTGTCTGACTGGATGTGAGGCCTGGGGAATATGGGAGATACTCAGGCTTGATAGTGTAAGTTTGGTTCAGAGTTGGTGATTAGAAAGACCATAGGCTCTAGGGGAAAACCTACAATTTTTGTTTTGTTAACTGGACATGTAGACAAACTGCATGTTCTAGACGTTCACATCTATAGCCATACATTAGCACAGCTCTCAGGCTCCAACAGAGGAGTTTCTTATCGCATCGGGCAACAGCTAGTGAAGGCAGTCATAACTGGTCGCAGTACCAAGACTGAGGGATAGAGGACCATTCAGCTCTACACAGGACATCTATGTCACCCTTTCCAAGGGGAAGAAGGACTTAAAAGACCCAGAGAATGAGAAGGAGAGTTGCAAAAGATGTCTTCTGGACATGGCATGCACCATCCCACTCATGAACTCATTGTAGCCGTGGTTATCCATACAAGACCTGCCGTGCACCAGACTGGGGCCGACAAAGTTCATCCAGGAAGGGGGAATGGCTTGTGATTCCCACCCTCCCTGAGAGAAAATAGTGGCTGGGGAAGGGGAGCCACTTTTTAATTGTTTGTTTTATTGAGACAGGATTTCTTCTTGTAACAGGGACCTGGCTGTACTGAACTCACTTTGTAGTGGTCTACAAAGTGGTTGGCCTTGAACTCACAGAGAGCCTCTTGCCCCTGCCTCCAGAAATGCTGGGATTAAAGGCATGTGCCACACCATCCAGCACCCAAGGGGAGTCATTTTCTTTAAGGGTATAGCCACTGATAAGCTACTCAAGTTCCAGTCTGTAACTTCCCACCTATGTCCATGCAAGCAACTGTAACTAAACCTGGTGGGTCACAAATACAAAACCACATGAAAGTAGGCTGAGTGCTCACTAGGAGGGAGAAAATGCTCAGGCGGTAGGGAGGGGCATGAAAGGGGTTAGTAAGGGGTAGAAATGACTGGAATCCATTACATATATTCATGAAACTGCCAAAAAATATTTAAAAAGAGAAATGGAAGATAATAGAAACAGTTATCCTTGGTCAGTGTTAAAACCAAAGCAGTTATCTGTCCATTAGCCAGCTTGGAGGAAAACTGTAGAGGTGATATGACTGGGAAGATGCCAGCCACCTTAATGTCGCCATTATGAAAGATGTTTTATAGAGAAAACATCACCCCAAGAGCTAGCTGAGTGGAGTGTGGGGACGCGTGTCTCTGACCTCACTCTAGAGTGACATGTGGGATCAGGGAGCACACTGAGTGGAGACCCCAGGGAAGGACTGACAGGGGAAGGGGTGTACATGGGCTTGCTTCTTGGACTTGCTGTTATTCTCCTAGATGGAAGGTTCTATTTCCTAGGTGTTCCCCATCAGCCACTGGATAATAGGGCCTTAGGATGTCACAGCAAGCCCAGGAGATCTTAGCAAGAATGGCTGAGAAGAGGTCCCATTTCTCCCTTGGGCCCTCTTAGTCTTTTTTTTTACTTTATAAGATCCCATTTCCTGGAGGGAGATACGGCTTTTTTCTGGGTCCCAATGGCCCTCATAAGAGGGACAAGCAGAGGCAAATAACAAAACTGGATGTGGCTAGCGCAGACTTCACCTGACAGGATTTGTCTGAGCCTAAGGATGTGGACACTCGTGCACACTGATGACAAGATGTGTGGGCAGGCTGTACTTCAGACGACAAGTGTTATCAATCACTTCTGACCCATTAAGAAAGCAGCAATAGTGTCTGTCAGATAAGCACACACTTTGCTTGGGTGACACTCACAGAAAGGTACTTTTTAGGGGAATTTGACAGAGAGCCAAAGCCAACTGAGAGAACTGCTCAGAAGCACTGTGGTGGTCCTGCCTGTGTTGGACTCCACAGGCATTCTACCGAGCACCATCCAGATGAAGGGACTTGATGTCACATCTAAGATGTAACTCTGATGCTCTCAGCATCTAGGGACAGCTCTAGCTCTGCATTTATCCCACTCTTCTCATTCACACAAAGACCACTGCTTTCCAAAGCCTCCAGGAGATGCGGCTCTCAAACAGGTCTGCACAGGTTCTCCCTTCAAACCCATTTCTCTCCCCGCAAGCATCTGCCTTTCTATAGCTTTAGACCCATGTGCATTTTCTCTAAAAAATAAGATATTGTATAATTCACACATCATAAATATAACCCTTTGAAGACTACCAGATATGATTTTAGTGTATCACCACAGGCACTTAAGAACCACAGTTGTTTAATTCTAGTGTATGCTTTTCCTATGTAGCCCCTAGCTATACTAGAACTAGCTATATAGATCAGGCTGGTCTTTAATTCACAGAAATCTGCCTTCCTCTTCCTCCCGAGTATTAAGATTAAAGGTATGCACTACTTCACCAAACTAATCCTGACAGTTTTATTTTATTTGTGTGTGTGTGTGTGTGTGTGTGTACGCGCGCAGGTTGTCTTCCAGTTAAACATCTGGTCCTCCATCTTACCACTGGCTGCACTGCCCACCAGCAGTGGGCAAAGCCCAACCTAGCCATTCAGGGCCCCTCAGCAGCAACCCTACACTTCCCTCCGGCTGTCTAGAACTGGGTCAGGACTCAAGCACTTCTGGTAGTCAAGTGGCAGCTATTATTATTGGTTGTGATGCTGCTGAAGTTATAGCTTGATAAAAGCATTTTACTGACGCACTGTGACTTGAGGAGGTCCCCAGGGAATGGTAGGCAACTGGCTGCTGATATTAACAGCCCGATGCCTATAGCTAGCTGGCTCTTTCTGGTAAAGGCGCAGGACGGATTTGGGAAGTAAATCTTTCTGGATGCTTGGGTTGAGAAGCCCACATTCTGCTTCTGTAGATCTTTCTCTGTCCACTTTTACTGTGCTCCGTTTCCTTCTAAAACCCCAAGTCAGAGCTTTAGGAGCACACCTGTCTCCATGATTCACGTCAAGCCCAGTTACATCTTATTAGGAGCCGTTTCTTGAGGAGGGATACAGCTCTCCGTGTGATGGAAGAGACAGC